TCGCAAAGATCTGAGGAGTACTGCCACTGCGCCCATCACCCTGAGACATAAGTTGAAAAGTCCTAAAAAAAGTCCTATGTGTCTGTAATTTCACCAGCACCCTTACTTACCCTTCAAAACTCCGGTTTTGTGAACCGTCACATTAATGCTGACATTACTGCTTGGCGGTAGAAATAGGTAAGGCTTCTTCTCGGCATAGTAAAGATGCGTCGCCTTATCCAATATAATATATTAAAAGTTTTAAACATATATACATAATCGAAATCGATCTAAGGATCTAGAGTGCCTTCAAATTAGAAACTTATAAAAGCAGTTGCAGCTACGCCACTACTAATTTTTTAAACAATATTTAGAAGCGCAACCGCGCACGCCACTTTTGCAGACTAGATATTGTATGAAAATTTGTAATTATTATTAGTAAGCGACACAGTGGCGCTATTGCAACGCTTATATAAGCGTCTAATTTGAAGGTGCCCTTATATGAATGCTGTAGTCGTTCTGAGACTATAATTTTGGTCAAAACTGAGAACTCGTTCAACCTAGTGGTTAAAACTGGATGCTGATTTATACCGGGAAACATTTTTTTTAAGTTTATGAGGTTTTTTCAAAATATCTCTGTAGCCTAATGGACATAGTTCGATAAATAATCGGTAGTACCAATTAAAAAAACGAATTTCTTAAAATTGGCGTATTCTAATTTGTGTCTTGTAAGAAAAATACCCAGTTTGAGATCAAGTTAAAGGTATATATATATATATATATATATATATATATATCTGTATATATATGTAACTACGGATCCAATCTTACGATGGCATGTGTGGTATGATAAGAAAAAAACATTAAAGGTAAAAAAACCTTATAAGCAACTCTCGTACAAAATTACACTTCAACATAGCAATATCAAGATCTTTAAATGATTAAATACGCGACAAACTAGTTCTAATCTTGTATATTATGATTCTAAGACTATATAATTGAGTGCATAAGGTCACACGTAAAGCGTAGGTCAGAGAAGGTGTAAAGGCATTATTACATCGGAGATACATAAAAATGGAAGTAAATTAATTTGCTACTCCGTGAACCCAGTGAAGAATAAACCGTGTAAAATAACTGCGCATGTATTAAATATTTTTTCATTAACTGCCTCCGTGACTAAAGAGTTACCATGCCGGCTGCCACGCAGAGGTCTCAGGCACGATTTTTTGTAGAAATATTTGTATGGCCTACATCTATTTCTCTCGTGAGTTTTAGGTGTAATTTGTAGTTGTCTATGTTAGTGTCCATGGCACCCACTATACAGGTTATCCCTAGTGCGGGGCTATGTTCAGTGCGTGCGTTATTATTATTATTATTATTACTCTGTAGCCAGAGCGGCCGAGAACCGCAAAAGGCTCAAACATCCAAACATTGCTCAGTGCTACAGCTTTGTGCCTTTTGCAGTTGAAACCCTGGGTCCCTGGGGATACAGGCGAAACTTCTATTATTTTTATTATTATTTTCAATCAATTAATTTTTCCACTCTCCAGCCTACCTACACCTACCAGAGAAGTACTGCCATCTTACTTATTTCTGCCGCCAAGCAGTAATGTGAGCATTACCGTGTTTCGGTTTTGAAGGGTAAGGGTGCTGGTGAAATTACGGGCACATGGGACTTGTCAACTTATGTCTTAGGGTGATGGGCGCAGTGTGGCAGTGTCCCTCAGATTTTTGCGATTTGAAGCTCTGAGTGGCACTGCAACTATCCCGTCACTGCGTATTCTATAATAAAGATTCCCAATAGTATCAATTTGGGAATTGATATAAATTTCTGGTCGGGGTGTTCTGGGTGCCCCAGAGTGAATTCCGTAGCTCTAGTACTCGTGGTCAATAATTTTATAGTTTGAGACCTGGTCATTGATGTGATTTTCTTGTATATTATTAGTATTTAAATTTAATTTCAACTCTACGCCACTTGCAATAACAACTTTTCAAGTGTCAAATTTGATATGCTCTTGCGTGTACTTGAATTCAAAGAACTTTCATGATAGAAACCCCTTTCAAATTTGTTCTATATATTCGTCATATCTACACGACCCAACTGGCTTATCGTCGACAAAGAAATATTGGCTAATAAATTAGGACCGTGTATTCAAAGTTTGTATTCCGTTTGGAGCTTTAAATAGGAATTAAATACATGCTTTTTACAGGATTCGAAATTATCAAGAAGAAGAGAAACGTTCCAATTTCCGAGTGTCTCTTTGTTTAAAGGCGAAAATTGAACATTATATGAAAAACCTATGAAAGATTTTCGTCACCCAGAGATTATTTGTAACTAAATTTGTATTGAATTGATATTCAATTATTTTTTGTGAAATTACTACTATTGAATCTGGCACAGTTTGCTAGAAGATGTCGGTTCGTATGCGGCCGGATCGAAGAATTTTTTTCTAAGTGTTCGATCTTTGTATTATTAATTATAACAAACTCACTAGTTTAATAATTTCACAAAAAATAATTGACAATCAATTCAATATAAATTTAATTACAGATAATAGCGACATCTCTAGCCAGGGCTGGTAGCTGTAAAGGTGTTGAACATTATATATTTCAAATCAAAATAACATGTTTCAACCAAAATTCTACAAAATTCGCGAAAGAAACTGGAAATGCGTAGTTTTGCGAGATTATGTAAATACCACTTTGTCCCTTAGATCTTTGCGATTTAAGAGTCTATAAAACCTCAAATGGCTTTGCTTGACTCCGCATAACAGTGGAAGTGTTGAGTCAATTTGGAAAAAATACATATTATACTGTAAAATTGAGGATGTATACTGACTACTAATACGGTGTGAAAACACGATTCCTAAAAATATTCACGTTAATAAAAACACAAACTTTTACCTCAAAATTTTACAAGAAAACCGCTGCATTCACTAGGTACTTCACATAAACCAATGATTTTTTTTTTGTTACTTGGTTTATAAAAAAAATCGCGTATTTTCCAAGTGTTGATTAATTTTCTTCTTTCTTATTTAACTTAAAACAGAGTAACACCTAAAATGATTAACATATAAATGTACCATGTGTAAAGTCGTTATAATTATCAGTCAATAATGCTTTTGCGATAGCGTGTCCGTTGACATTGGCCAACATGACATAGCCAACTATTGTTACTGTAGTTATTGTTTGAAAGCCTTGAACTAGTGAAGGTAGCACTGCTTAGTTGCAAAACTATAGGATATTTTACCGATAATATTTGATGTCTCTGCTCAGGCTAGTGGTAAGAATATATATAAAATTGTATAGGTAATAATGACAGAGATGCAAAGATTGAAAAGCTTTATTTGCCATGTCATAATTCAGTAACATTTAACACGTCAAAATTACGAAATATATTGTTGGCTAAGTTATTCATTATTAACTAATTATACTACTATTTCTGTCGCCAAGCAGTAGTTTTGTTAGCATTACAGCGTTCCGGTTTTGAAGGGTGAAGGTGCTGGTAAAAGTACAGTTTTCAAATTTATGTCTCAAGGTGACGGGTGCAGTGGCAGTGCAACTTATATGTTTAGTATTTAAAGCTCCGAGTGACGCTGCAACTGTTATGGACAGGCGTGTCACTTACCGCCAGGCGCGCGACTTATTCGTCGTGTCACTTGGGATCATAAAAAAAACATAATTGAAGAATTTTCAAAAGTGCAAATAATATATTCATTAAATATTAATAATAGTTTTATCTAATTAAACAAATTGTCATTTTTTAAAAAAAAAAAGCATTATTTCTTTTTTTATTTGTCAACACACAGTTATATAAAACAGTACTTATTTACATATATTCTTCTTAGACTGGATCTATAGTGCCAACAATTTATAAATAATTATAATAGACGATACATATAGTAGTTGTTATAATTGTCTATAAAATGGTTTCAACATTTCGTGCTATGTGCAGGTCCCATGGTCACGGCTGACTATAGCCTTTTTGACAGACTATGGTACCTGGAAACAGTTCAAAACGTTAACGTTGCTTTGTTTGAGAAACAAATACACGCGATTTGTTTTTACAAACAAAAAAAATGCAATGCATTTTAAAGAGTTTTACAAACATGCACGCGTAACTAACGGCTTCGACTGCGTGGATTTAGTACTTTCATATTGTACCTACGATTGAACAGGGCCAGTGTCAAAGACTACACCAATTTACCTTCTTTGCTGTATTGATTATTATTGAACTACATTTGTTTTATAAATCTTTGTTTCACAGTTAATCAAGAGTTTAAAAACACCTGTTAAAAAAAGTGTTATAAATGATATAAGTAAAAAATAATAATAACAATAAAAACAAATTAATATTTAAAAAAGCATGTTATAGGGATCCATGACTCAGCATTCCTATTTCTGCTGCCAAGCATTCTTGTAAGCATTACTGCGTTCCGGTTTTAAGGGGTAAGGGTGCTGGTGAAATTACTGGCACATGGAACTTGTCAACTTATGTCTCATGGTGACGGGCGAAGTGACAGTGCCCCTCAAGATCTTTGCGATTTAAAGCTCTGAGTGGCACTGTAACTGTTATGGACAGGCGTGTAGCGTACCATCAGGCGCACGACTGGTTCGTCCCGTCACTTAATATTATTTAAAAAAAGCATCTGTAGACTAGGCTAATTACATAGCCCTCGCTGTTGTTCTGCCGTGGTCCGTTATAAATATAATATACTGAATAACGCAATCGAAAAACCAAATAAAATAAAATATAAACAATCCGAAACTAACGTCAATGTAGAGCTGCCCTAACAATAGATTGGGTATGTCCAGACTCAACAATCTTACGTACGTTTAATATTACTAGTCATTATCGGAAAAAATACAAGGAAAACTACTTGTGAGACTCACCGATGCCATGCCATGCCATCATAATCGGTTACGCTCGCGCGCCGCACACTCCGTACACACTTATTTCAATATAAATAAAACACTAGCACGCGAACGTTCAAACAAAACAAATTCAAAAAAATCCAGTTATACACTTGTCCAATTATCATTGCCCGATGTAAAACGCAGATAAAATTTAAACTTGAAGTATCTTACATTAAAGTATATTTTTACAGTGCTACTTAGAATTCAGTCAATTAAAATCTTTAATTAGATTTGACATTGATTAAACAACTTTCCTCTAGGGATGAAGACCAAACTTTGAAACAAAAATTTGAAATTTGAAGCTATAAAAAAAGCTCGTTAAAAGGTTTTTTAGACTTGGACTAGTGTATTTTAAAGTGCAAGATGGTTCTCAAAGTGTTCACCAAGCAGTCGAGAGTGTGGTTCGCCGTATCGCTTGGATTAATGATCCTAGCTATAGCGCTAGTCGTGTGGGGCGCGCCTTACATCATTAACCGACAGATACAAAAGGTAAGTTATACTTTGATCTACTTTAATATTACAGCGTGATCCTAATTATCCCATATAAATATCTCTTATGATTGCAATATGCACGATACAACCTCAAACGGCTTTGGTTGATTCCGCATACCAATGAAAGCGTTGAATTCATCTGGAAAAAATATATAATAAAATTGAGGATATACACTGATATACACACATCAAAAAAAGTTTGCGATCACTTCGAAAAACTGAAATCTTTTTTGTTACTGTAGATTATATTATGATTTTTTCTTCTTTTTAGATTCTTTATTTAAAAATAAATTAGAACATAAAACAATGACCCCGTTCAATTGTTTTTTCATATAAAAAGGCTTTCAGTCCTAGCTTACGCTCATTCAGAAATCTGATTTAGTCAATTATAAGCGATTCAAGATATTTTTCGCGGAAAGTTGTGATTGAAAAAATGCCAAGAGGATTATCAGAGGTTTTACGAGCTAGAATAGTAACTTTGAGGGAAGAAGGATACACCACGAGAGTAATAGCACGCAGACTTGCTATATCCCAATCCTGTGTCGTGGCTACGTTGCAGAGGTATCACGGAATGAGGAATTTAGCTGACCGACCCCGCAGCGGTCGCCCAACTGTTTTGACAGCTGCCCAAAAGCGCTATATTAGATTGCTGGTAGCCCGTGATCCAACAATCAACGCCACTAAAATAAAAGCAGAAGTCAGGGCCGCCTCTGGGCTTGAAGTTAGCACGCAGACCGTTCGCAATTGCTTGCACCAGGCTGGATTACGAACACGGAGGTCTTGGCGAGCTCCGCTCAATTCCCGGCAACGTCAACAACGAAGATTGCAGTGGGCTAGACTTCGGCAAAATGAAGAAGGTGAGGACGAAAACATTTGCAAAACTGTCTCTTCGTTGACGAATCCCGAATCAGCACTCATCCAGATAACCGACGTGTCCGTGTCTGGAGAAGACCAGGCGACCGTGAAAGACAAAGAACTGCCACTGGAACAGTTCAGCAAGGCGGAAAATCGGTGTCTTTTTGGGGTGGCATTATGATTGGAGCTAGAACGCCTTTGATCCCGTATCGGGGCTTCATGACAGCAGACATGTACAAAGCAGTAGCTATTGATGATATCGTCAGACCATTCCGAGTAAACCATGGGCACCAATTTGTACTGGTCGATGATAATGCGCCCGCACATCGAGCTCAACGAGTCAATGCTGCTCTTCAAGAATACGATATCACACGATTAGACTGGCCTGCCGGCTCGTCCGACTTAAACCCAATAGAGCACGCGTGGGATGCTCTTAAACGAGCAGTATGGAACCGTGAGCCACGTCCCCAGACAGTTCTAGAGCTCAGGGAAGCCGCTATTGAAGAATGGGATAGGTTACCCCAGGAAATGCTGGATAACTTGATCCTCAGCATGCCCAGGAGGATCTTCGCATGTATTCGAGCCAGGGGAGGAGTTATTTTATATTGAAATCACACCTTTTAATAATAAATTGTTGTTTAAGTTTAATTAAACAGTCTTTTTCTTTCTACGAAATTTCTATCACTATTACATTATGATTAATGGTTCAATTTTTTAAAATAAATAATAAAAAATAGTTTTATATTTTAATTTCAAACAGGGTATTCCTATTTAAAGAAAGAATACAACATAGATTTTTTCTTGATAAAGTTAAATTTAAAGAATTATAGGAGCTTATGCTATTGATCGCAAACTTTTTTTGATGTGTGTATGGTGTAAACATACGATTCATACAAATTTTATCGATTGAAAACAATAGCACAAACTTACTTCAATAGGTACTTTACATATACCAATAATTTTTTTATATATATCAACTTAACTAAATAGAACACGTATATTCAAATTCAAATTCAAAATAATCTTTATTTCATAGGCAAGCATTATTACACTTGAAATCGTCACAATGGTTAAACTCTACCGCTCATTCGTAAGACAGATTGAGAAGAATGAGCAAGAAACTCTAGGGGTTGCTCTTTGTATTTTTTTTTTTATTTGAAACATCAGAGATCGAGACTACCTCCATGAGCTAAACTGGTACTACCACGGATTTTTGTCATCCAAGTACGCAGAAGTTGTATAATAACCTTTAGTATAAAGTTTTTGTTTCACTATAGTTTTAAACCTCGTGAAAGGCAAATTTTGTATATCAAACGGAATCTTGTTATAGAAGCGTATACATTGCCCCTTAAATGATTTTTTGACTTTGTGAAGACGACTATCAAGAAAAGCTAGTTTATTTTTATTCCTCGTATTAATGTTATGTCTGTCACTATTTTTCATAAAGAAATTACTATTCCTTTTAACATAAATTACATTTTCATAAATGTACTGTGAGGCTAGTGTAAGAACGTTAATTTCCTTAAACTTATCTCTCAAAGATACTTCGGGGCCCAGATTGTAAATTGCCCTAACTGCACGTTTCTGCAGGACAAAGATTCTATTGATATCGGCAGCATTACCCCAAAGCAAAATGCCATATGTCATTAGACTGTGAAAGTAGCTGAAGTAAACCAATCTAGCGTTTCGACGGTTTAGCGGTATAGTAAACGAAATACATTTTTTAAATGGCTTTATTTTCGTTTGTAAAAAAACAAATTCTGAAAAAAAGCCAGGCCCAGTGTTCCTGCCGCCGGACCCAATTAAAAAGAACCGTATTAGTACGGGAAAAGTTTGAATTCCAGCTAAAGTAGTATCGACTCTAAAGGCTTTGTGTACATCATAATGAACATAAAACTTGAAGTGATTCAGGATAATATTATTCCTATTATCACGTCTTCTTCTATCGACGCCATACACTGTAATACTTACCATCGTGATGAAAGGATTGGCCAAATGGTGCACCAGATGTACAGGAAAGGAATATTACATCGCGCGGGAAGGATAGCCTTTCATGCACCTTAATGATGATCACGTTGTGACTACACGACCTCTTCCATCGTCATCCCAGATTTTTGTCTCCCTTTTCTCTGTTTCCTGGCCACCTACTTGGACATTTTGAATCGTTCTTAAATTCCTTTTTCTTCTTCGTCACTTTTCTTCTTTCCATCGCCACTCTCTACAAAATTTCCGAAGCGAGCACACGTGCTCAAGTTGATGTATAATTCTGACCCATAGATTTAGTGTATAGGTAATAAAATCTATGTTCTGACCAGTTAAATTATCTAACGTAACTGCTTATAAAGCATAGTATTTCTAGAAATTACAGACCCTTTTGGGATAAATTCCTTTTTATGATAACACATACATTTTTGTAACATAAGCTACGAATTAGGTATTTTTTAAACTATCTTTAAAAAGCTCTTATAACACCAATATTTAAATCAGGGGACAAAAATCTCCCCACAAATTATCGGCCAATATCAATACTTCCAACTCTCTCTAAAGTTTTAGAAAAATTAGTCAATAAAAGATTATATCAATATGTAGAGAAAAATAATTTATTAGCAGACAACCAATATAGTTTCCGTTCAAACCGCTGTACTGAAGATGCTGTATTAAAACTAACATCACTTGTTGCCACTTACCTAGACAATGGAGAAAAATGCATCGGCGTCTTTCTTGACCTGCAGAAAGCATTTGATACGGTTTCCGTGCCAATCCTGTTAACCCGGTTTGAAACCATTGGAATTAGAGGAAACCAGTGGCACTGGTTCAATGACTATCTTTATAACCTATCGCAAAGTGTACGATTAGGCGCACACTTCAGTGACGAAATGACAAATTCATACGGAATTCCTCAAGGTAGTTCTCTTAGTGCCTCGTTATTTATTATTTATATACATGAGTTATGCGAGATGCAACTTAATAATGCGGAGACACCGTTATAATCTTTTTCCTGAATCGGTTACCGTGGAATACAGTAGCAAATGTCTGCATTCGGAATCGCGAAGGCGATCTTAATGTATATATTACGTATGTAAACAAATAATTTAGAACATTTAAATTTAAAAATATATAATTTATGTGTCACGTTTTATTTTATCAATTTAAACAAAATGTTCATAATTTTTTTACGTTACCAAGTGACCGGATGAACAAGTCGTGCGCCTGGTGGTAAGTGACACGCCTGTCCATAACATTTACAATGCCACTTGAGATTTAATTCGCAAAGATCTTAGGGGCACTGCCACTGCGCCCTGAGACATAAGTTGACAAGTCTCATGTGCAAGTGTAGTAAATGCTAGTGTGTTAAAACCCCCGGGTATTAACACACCCCGCTTGGGACGAGGTTGTGGCTACGTGATCGCTACCGCGGGGAACTCCTCCACCTCTGGGGGGACTACCATTACCCCTCCATCGTTACCACTAACTGCATGCTGGGAATATTTGGCACGCCAACCAATCTGTAAATCCTTATCCGATGCCCCCGTTTTTATCAACCAGGATTCACTCTCAGGGCGGCAGTTGGCGGGCGTAAGCCAGCTCCAAGTGTTTGCGTCGCATAGGATTGGAGGAAGGGTACTCTTGCTCCCGTTCCGCCGTCTCCTTCCGCGACATTACGTCATTGCAGAAAGAGGTCATGGCAGTACTTCCCTGGACGAACTTTCACAAGGGGCTCTACTTCTACTAATAATGATAAACCAAAAAAAAGTAAAAAGCGATAAGTACGCGTTTACGAAATATACCTTCTTATCGAACAGTTTTGTACATATACAATAGTAAAAAGCGCAAAATACATAAAATCAAACTGTGTCAAGACAAGCATGTAGTTATCGTAGTAAAACGTTTTTATGGCATAAAAGTGAGAATTGCAATCTACAAATAAATCGCAAGCTACCTCAGTGTCAAAAAAGTAACCAGTAACGATGTAACAGGATTTCGTGAAATCACGATATAATAAATTTCTCTCGAATTTTCTTCAAAAACAGATTAGATGGCTAATTAATTTTGCCTGTAGAGATAAAAATATTAAGGCGAGGTATTTCAAAGCGAGTCTAGATTTTAGGAAGTGAGGTTGGGGGGCCTCCCGCGTCCCACTA